CCCTGCGGCTCCTGGGGCCCTGCTCTCGCCTGCGCTCCTGGGGGCTTCGTGGTTGGCCTTTTCTGCCCGGTGACTGGCCTTCTTTCAAGGAGGTTTCAAGTGGACACGAGGCAATCGAGCAGGGCTCCCGTGAGGGGCCGAGGTTTCTGTCCCCACAACACTGTCCTCATTAAAGGGTTGCATCTTAGCCCTGCACCCCAAAAAATGAGTCAGGTTGAGGAAGGCGTCGCGGGCATCCAAAATTCATCACGATAGACGATACCTCCAACCCGAGAGCCCCTACTGCTCCAACTAGAACTTGAGGGCCGAAAGTGGACACATCCTGGAGCTGCTAGGGGCGGCAGGATGTACCTGGGGGGGTGGGGGGCGCTTGATCTAGTGACCCAAAGCCCAGTGGAGAGAGTGAGGGGGACCGTGCGGGGAGACAGGACAGGCGCCTCGAGAGGGTTTCCTGCAGGAGCAGGAGCTGGGGAACTTGATCTTCATTACTCTTTCCCTTTTGCTAGCTCCGGCTTCCCAGGACTGTGCTGCGCGAGGGCATGACCAAGTTCCAGGTGAGTTGGGGTTTCTCCTCTGAAAATGCTGTCTCCCTGAGAATGCAAGTAACCTTTCTTTCCTGGGACCCAGGAAGGACATCAGCATTAATGGACATCAGATATCAGGTCCTGTCTTTGTTCTGTGTGTCATTTTTCCCTTTATTGTCGGACTCCAGTGTGAGACATACGGTATTTTATAGATATGGGTGTAGCAACATTGATATCCTAAGGCAGTGGTCGGCAAACTCATTAGTCAACAGAGCCAAATATCAACAGTACAATGATTGAAATTTCTTTTGAGAGCCAAATTTTTTAAACTTAAACTATATAGGTAGGTACATTGTTATTAACTTAATTAAGGTACTCCTAAGCTGGCCTTTGCTAAAAACGTCAATCTGATTGAGGTACGTTCGCCCTTCCAACTCTCCCATCCACACTCGTCTTGTATACTTGTTTCGTCTCTCTCCTTTCGTTCATCCTCTCTATATGTCCAAACCATCTCAACATACCTAACCACTGCACAATGAGACTGCTGACTGACTGGCTCACTCAACTTGTGCATGAATTGCTGGCGCCTCCCCCGTGCTGCGTCTCCTGTCGCCCGACCGCCCAACACCCCCCACTTCTTCTAATGCCACTTCTTCAAAATAGACTCGCCCAGGCCGAAAACCAACTTCTGCACAAGGGCCACGAAGTTTCAATCGCACTGTACTGAGCCACACTCAAGGGGCCAAAGAGCCGCATGTGGCTCGAGAGCCGCGGTTTGCCGACCTCTGTCCTAAGGGCATGGACTAAGGCATCCAGCCATCAGTTGCTGCACAGGTCTCCGCTGCCTTTAAATTACACACCAGTTTTCACTGAGCTGCCCTCTTCCTGATCTTGGCTCCCTCCCCAGAGCACTGGGCTCAGCTCTTTTATTGAAAGACTCCACACAGCATCTTTGCTTGGTTGTCTCTGTTAAAGCCTGCCTTTTCCTGTAGACACTTCATTCATATTGAAAGTCATTCAAAGCTGTTACATGGTCAGTTCTTTGCTAAGTGGTCGCAGGAAAACCCACTCACTCCCAGAAATGCTCGTCAACCAGGCTGTGTATTAGAATTATTTGTAGTGTTTTTTAAGAGTTAAGGTTCCTAGGTGCCACCACTCCCAGACCTACTAAAAAGAGAAATTTCACTTTTTTTTGTCTCCTCGATCTTTGTACATCCATTAATTTGTTGCATTTATTGTCAGATATTTCTCTACTTGCTCGATGTGAGCTTCTCTAAGACAGGTAAAAGGTCCATCTTTTATGCTCCGATTGCTTACCAACATATCTACATGTTTAAGTGGTACAATAAATTGTTAAATTACCAATTAGCACTTTTTTTAAAAAATCGATTTTTCATTTGTCTCCATAAAACCATTTCTAGAAAGTTACCTCAAGATTGGCACTTAGAATCGTAGAATGCTTTCGATGGCAGGGTCGGCCAGCCCCTCTGCCTTGGTGCCATCACTTAACCGAGGAGACCGCTGATTCTGAGGGAGCCGGAAGGAAGCGCCCGGTCCTGGTGGCAGAGACCAGCAGAGCAGGAGGAAAGCCCCATGTTTTCTAACTCCAGGTCGTTTCTTCGCTATAACTGAACAGGTCATGACACCAGAAACTATGTGAACAAAATATAAATCAGGCTGAATTTTAAGGAAAAAATAATTGGTTCTTAACCAAGACCATCTTTTTGCTTAGCGAACACAATCCTCACATACATAGGAAGTGACCGTGAACTCCTATAACAATTGGTTTGGCCCGGCTGGTGTGGTTCAGTGGTTGAGCATCGACCTATGAGCCAGGAGGTCGAGGTTTGATTCCCGGTCAGGTCACATGCCTGGGTTGCAGGCTCGATCCCCAGTGTGGGGTCTGCAGGAGGCAGCTGGTCAATTATTATCTCTCATCATTGATTTCTGTCTCTGAATCTCTTTCCCTTCATCTCTGAAATGAATTAAAAATATATATATTTTTTTTAATTGGTTTGTATAAAGGACAGTAAAAGGCCTCAAGGTACTGAGAGCATGCCATCGCTGTGCCTTGCAAAGTGATTGAGGACTTCAAGGGAGCTTAGCATGAGTAGGAAGACCCAGTGTGTCTATATTTTCCTTCCTTCTCTTTTATCTGTTTCCAAGTGAAGATTATTTTTTCACTGCTGATGAAATTGTGGATTGCTAGTGTAATAAATTTTGAGGTTCTGGTGTATATTAATAACTGAATTTAAAGAAGGGACTTCATCCCACCAATACTTGCGGAATGTTTTTATTTACCAGGCATTGTCCTGAGTCTGCTGAGAGGCAGCAGTTGCCATTTAACCATCCCTTCCTCTGTGACTTGGGTAAGTCACTTCACCATTATGAACCTTAGTTTTCTCATCTGAAAATGAGAGTGTTGAATTTGATGTGCTCGCGGTTTACTTGTAGCATTTGATTATTCTTTTAAATTGAATGTAAATTTATAAATACCATTTAGATTCTGAGCTCGTTGTGCTAGTTGTTGAGAATTTAAAGATTAGTTGAGCATGGCTCCTATCCTTTAAAATCTTCTAGCCAATTTGGGAGACAGTCTTAATAGCTATAGTAGATGTATATGAAAGATGCTGTGAGATGGAGGAGAACGCACCTAACTCATCCTCATGCTTCAGAAAGGAGGTTGTTGATTGTCCTGAAACTGAAAGTAATTCCGAAATGGATGAGAGAAATAGATGTCAGAGCAGAATCAAGGTGTAAACGGCTATTCTAGACTAGAGTATGACGTTTAGATGACTACAGGTAATCCAGTGTGACTACAGCTCCTGGCCACCTCCTGCATTACTGTGTCCTGCCCCCTCCAAAGTAAATTGTTGGACTCAGCTAGGAAGGGCTCTGGAAAGAAAGTAAAAAGCCATGTGATGTGTGTAGTTTGGGGGAGTTCGGCATTTTTGGTGGGCGGTGGGGTGGTGGGAGGGACAGGAAACTACTAGTCCTGTGACCTTCCACCTGGGTTGGCCCTCAGGATACTGAGTCCACTTTCCCAGAGTAAGCACGAGGTCCACCTGGGTGACCCATGCACTCCACTGATACCGGGGAGACTGTTCATTATTCAGGGTCTTTTAGTTCCAACTTTGTCTTCTGTAGCAGGACCACTATTTTCTTCCTCTGATTCCTTACATTTGGTCCACTGTCATACCATTCCTCATCTTCGAATTTTCGACCTGCTACAAAGTTTATAGTCCATCAACACAACCTTTTCATTCTCAGCACAAAATTCTCTCCACCACTTTGTGGGATTTTTAAAAATTACTAAATCTATCTAATCTATGAATTGAAAAATGGTAGAACATGTATTTGAAGACTTGGTAAGGAATTCTTGTGGTCTAGGTAAGAAATGAAGGCCTTACCTAGGACAGTGGCAGTGGGAGTAAAGAATAGGTATCACGTTGGATGGAGATTTAGGAAACAGCACTGACAAGATCTGAAGTTACCTGAATATTGTTGAGGTAGGGAGGGTGTCTTAGACAACCCAGACAATGGGGTGGGAAATGAATAAAATATAAAAGGGAAAAAAATAACTGATGGACTTGAATCTCAGAAGGGAAGCAAGGATTTGATCTGAAATGCATAGGAAGAAGTTAGCATTGGACAGAAAGAAACCTTTTTCTCTTGAGGTCAAGAAGTCTGGTTGAAAAAGTGGCAAATCCAACGGCTTGATATTCACCTGGCCCTGTTGTGAGAGAGGGTTCATTTATGTCCCTCTTGGGCAACACCTCCACTTCCATTTCTTCTTTGTCCCACCTTTTTGCAGGGCCTTGCAGGCTGCTCTAGCCCTTCCTCAGACACAGTGGAGACCTGTGACCTTGAGGACAAACTGCCATTTGCCTCACTATCACCTTCTCCACTGGTGACTAGTGGTCAGGTCATTCCTGGGGGGTAGGAGGGAAGGGCTGGTTGTCCTCAATTTCCTGAGGAAGGAGTAGGTGGTGCCCCTTCAGCCTCAGTCCTAAGATGTGACCCTTCTGAAGGTTACCGGGCATGTCAGAGTTGAGTTGCTCCTTTGGGCTTCACTTAGCTCTCGGTTGTTTTGTGTATATTCTGTCCTCTGCTTTTCAGCATGTGGCCTGTAGACTGCTGGCAGCCCACAGTTGGTTACCGGTATACAAAGATATAAGTGTTGCCGGTGGAAACAGGATTCTTTCACGGTGTCGCAAGAAATGCATTTCGGGGACCCATGCACAGGAGGACTTGAGCGTAGTGTCAGATTTATTGGAGTGAAATAAAGGACTGCCCCCAGGTGGCTCAGGTCCATCTCCCTGCAAAAGAAGTCCTGGGCCTGGTGAGCACAAGTGCCCACCAGGAGGGCTCAGGACCCAGAACTGCAGTGCCGTCACCCTGGGCTCCAAGTAGTCCAGCGCAGTCTTTGTTCCCGGCTGCACTTGCCTGTGTCTCATTTCCCCATCTGCACATCTGCCGCCAGTGCTCAATGGTGCCGGGCCACGACCCAGTGCTGAGTTCCAGCTCACCCGCAGCTGCTAATAGGGGAGAGAGCGCTCCAATGCACAAACAATGAACTGCTGGCCTTTGTTACGCTTCCCCTTGGGTTTGGGAGAGAATAGGCTTTCTTTCCAACTAAACAATCGCCTTCCTAATTCTTCACGGGCTTGTGCTGGACCCTCCCCTAACCAATCCCTTTCCTGGATCTTCTGGGGTTCCACGCCCTTATTCTGTCTGATCCTTTTCCCAGACTAGGCACCTCCCCTGTGTGTTTGCCATTTTGGCTTCTACTGCACATGCCTCAGCAGAGGAATTTCCCCTTTACTATTTCTCCCTGCCCCTAGTAATCCGGGGGAGCCCCTGACTGGTCCCTGGGGAGATAGGAGGGCAGTCCTTCCTCCCTACTCAGGGGAGGAAGGGATGTTAATCCCCTTGGGGAGGGGGAGGTGATGCAGCTATCATCCCCTGGAGTGTCTGGAACCTGTAGCTTCCTAGTCGATCAGACTCAGCCAGTTTAGCTCCCTTCTCTT